GAATAGATATGAACACAAAGACGGGAACAACAGACACCGGGACTGTTGATAGGGGAGAGTCAGAGGGAAGTGTGGGTTAGAAGACTATCAGGTACTCTGCTCACTACCTGGGTGACAGTATCATTTGTACACTAAGGCTCGGTGACATGCAATTTACCCATGTAACATATCTGTTTACATACCCCTGGAATTTAAAAGTAGAAGAAAAAAGAGAATATAACACATATATCAAAGGTAGCATAGCAACAGGGCAAGGATGGTCATTTCAGTAAAACATGGTGAAACAACTGGATATCCATATATCCTTTTTAAATGTCCTCAAAAAACAAATCATCTAAAAAATAAATTTTAAGTGAGATCAAAATGAGAAAGACAAAACATTAATGTCTGTAGAGTATAACATAGGAGTTCATCTACAAGGCTTTAAGATAAAGAAACACTCCTTAAATGCTACATAAAAAAATACTAAGCATAAAATAAAAACAAGAAATTTCATTAGTAAGATATAAAGCAGTAAGGTATAGCCTGGGAGAAGACATAACACACATATCAAATAGAGGCCTGATAACAATCATAATATCAAGTTATTTACAAATCCACATGAAGGCAAACAAAAAGTTTAAAAAGATGCTCAAAATAATACTTCACAAGAGATTTCCAAAATGGAAAGTTGTTCAACATCATTAATAAAGAAAATTTGAATTAAACTCCTCTAAATACTACCACAAAATCACCAGAATGGCTAAAATTAATTTCCAAATGTTAAGGCAGACATGAAGTTAGGTGAATGGTCAAAAACAACTGGTGGGTTTTAAATCTTTACAAATACTTTAAAAAACTCTTCGGCAGTGTATACTACAGTTGAAATATATTCAGGCATACCTCGAAGATATTGCAGGTTCAGTTCCACACCACCACAATAAAGCAAATATTATAATACAGCGAGTCAGTCACACAAATTTCTGGTTTCCCAATGCATACAGAAGTCATATTTACACTATATTATAGCCTATTAAGTGTACAAAAGCATTATGTGTAAAAACCTGCAATGTACATACCTAAATTTAAAACTACTAAACCGCTAAAAATGCTAAGAACCATGTGAGCCTTCAGCAAATTGGAATCTTTTTGGTAGACATTGAGACGGCTCAATGTTGACGGCTGCTTACTAATCAGAATGATGGTTACTGAAGGTAGCTTTGGCAATTTTTTAAGAATAAGACAATAAAGTTTGCTGCATTGACTGACTCCTTATTCAGAAAAGATTGCTCCATAGCATGAAATGCCACTTACTAGCATTTTACTCATAGTAGAGATTCTTTTAAAATTGGGGTCAATCCTCTCAAACCCTACTGCTGCTTTATCAACTAAATTTATATACTGTTATAAATTTTACAAAATGTATACACACACACACACATTTTTTTTTAACACTCGAGGTCTCACTGTGTCACCCAGGCTGGAGTGCAGTGGTGCAATTATAGCTCACTGCTGCCTTGAACTCCCAGGGTCCTCCACCTCAACCTTCTGAGTAGCTGGAAATATAGGGGTGTGCCACCACACTTGGCTAATTATTTTATTTTATTTACTTTTTAAATTTTGGAGATGGAGTCTTGCTCTGTCACCCAGGCTATAGTGCAATGATGTGATCTCAGCTCACTTGCAACCTCCACCTCCTGGATTCAAGCAATTCTCCTACAGCCTCCTGAGAAGCTGAAATTACAGGAATGTGCCCCCACACCTCGCTAATTTCTGTACTTTTAGTGGAGATGGGGTTTCTCCATGTTGGCCAGGCTGATCTTGAACTCCTGACCTCACAGGATCTCCCTGCTTTGGCCTCCCAAAGTGCTTGGGATTACAGGCATGAGCCATCGTGCCCAGCTTATTTTGATTTTTAAATAGAGTTTCACTTTGTTGCCCAGGCTGTTTTCAAACTCCTAGCCTCAAGTCATCCCCACTACCTCAGCCTCCCAAGTCGATGAGATTATAGGAATGAGCTACCATACTTGGCTACCAGGAATAGATCCCATTTCAAGAAACCACTTTCTTTGCTCCTCTGTAAGAAGCAACTGCTCAGCTGTTCGAATTGCTGCAATTCAGTCACATCCTCAGGCAGCACTTCTAATTCTAGTTCTCTAGCTATTTCTATTAAATCTACAGTTACTTAATCCAGTGAAATCTTTAACCCATCAAAGTCATTCATAAAATTTGGTTGGAATCAACTTATTCCAAACTCCTGTTAATGCTGATATTTTGATCTCCTCCTATGAATCATTAAAGTTTTTGATGTCACCTAAAATGATGAATCCTTTCCAGAAGGTTTTCTTTTTTTTTTTGAGACAGAGTTTCTCTCTCGTTACCCAGGCTGGAGTGCAATGGCGCGATCTCGGCTCACCGCAATCTCTGCCTCCTGGGTTCAGGCAATTCTCCTGCCTCAGACTCCCGAGCAGCTGCAGAAGGTTTTCAATTTACTTTATCCAGATCCATCAAAGGAATCACCATATATTGCAGCTGTAGCCTTACAAAAATGTATTTTTTAAATAATAAGACTTAAAAGTCCCTGTAATCCCAGCACTTTGGGAGGCCGAGGTGGGTGGATCACGAGGTCAAGAGATCAAGACATCCTGGTCAACATGGTGAAACCCCGTCTCTACTAAAAATACAAAAAATTAGCTGGGCATGGTGGCGCGTGCCTGTAATCCCAGCTACTCGGGAGGCTGAGGCAGGAGAATTGCCTGAACCCAGGAAGTGGAGGTTGCAGTGAGCCGAGATCCCGCCATTGCACTCCAGCCTGGGTAACAAGAGCGAAACTCTGTCTCAAAAAAAAAAAAAAAAAAAAGACCTAGAAGTCAAATTAATTTTTATCCATGGACTGCAGAATGGATGTTGTGTTAGCAGGCATGAAAACAACAGTTGTCTCCTTGTCCATGTCCCTGTCCATGACCAGGTGCACTGTCAATGAACAGTAATATTTTAAAAGGAATCTACTTTTCTGAGTAGTAGGTCTCAACAATGGACTTAGAATATTCAGTAAACCCTGCTATAAACAAATGTACTGTCATCTAGGCTTTGTTGTTCCATTTATAGTGTACAGTCAGAGTACATTTAGCTTAATTCTTAAGGGTCCTAGGATTTTTCAGAAGAATAAACAAACATTGGCTTTAACTTAAAGTCACCAGTTGCATTAACTCCTAACAAGAGAGTAAACCACTCCTTTGAGTCTTTGAAGCTAGAAATTCATTTCTCCTTTCTAGATGTGAAAGTCGTAGATGGCATCTTTTTAAATAGAAGTCTGTTTTGTCTAGATTGAATGTGTAGCCACTTTTATTAATGATCTTAGCTAGATCTTCTGGATAACTTGCTGCAGCTTCTCTATTCGCACTTGCTGCTTTACCCTGCCCTTTAATGTTATGGGGATAGCTTATTTTCTTAAACCTCATGAACCACTCTCTGCTAGCTTCAAAATTTTTGCAGCTTCCTTACTTCGGTCAGTCTTTGTAGAACTGAATAGAGTTAGGGCCTTCTCTGGATTAGGCTTTGGCTTAGGGGAATGTTGTGGCTGGTTTCATCTTCTATCTAGACCACTCAAACTTCCTATGAAAGATCATTAACCTCATATTACCATAACAGATGTAGTATTAATGAAAAAGTTTGAAATATTGTGAGAATTACCAAAACACGACACAAACACAAAGTGAGCATATCCTGTTGGAAAACATGTTGATAGACTTGCTTAACACAGGATTGCCACAAACCTTCAATTCATAAAACACTCAATAGCTGCAAAGCACAATAATACAAAGAGCAATAAAACGAGGTATGCCCGTATACCTCAAGAACAACTGTATTCCTAGTACAATTGAACAGATGAATACATTTCAAACCAAAAGACATGTTCATAAAGCCTTTAATCATAATAGCTCAAAACAGGAAAGCCAAATGTTCATCAGCAATAGAACAGATCAAGTATAGTGCAGAATGCTAAATAAAAAAAAAATTAAACTACAGCTATACTCAACAACACTGATAAATCTCAAAAATGTATGTAATGTTGTCATATGAAAGAATTTATATGGTTTGAACCCATCTATAACAATTCGAAAAGAAAACTAAATTATAGTGTTGAAAGAAAACACAGGAAAATGGCATGATTAGCATAATGGTAAATGAGCTGGAATGGGAGAATTAATTGAAAAATGCCTTTTGCTACACTGGCAATTTCTTGGCCTATGTGGTTTTACATTGCTATTCATTTTGTGAAAAATCATTAGGCCCTATATTTTTATTTTGGACAATTTTCTACATGTAGCATTTTACATTTTTAAAAAAGGTTCAAAAGGACAATTATTTAAGTCAGAGAACCTCTCATTTATCAATGATAGCCAGATAAAAAACTTTCAAATTTATAAAACAGATACATGTATGGAGTGAAGCTTCAATGGTGTTTACAAATAGTAAATTTAAATAATTCATCGAATGTTATTAAAATATTATTTAATATGAAAAACTTACAAAGATGTAAAGATAATATCTATTATCTAAAGTCGATATGACATATTTTTTCCTAAAAAAAAAAGTAAGTATTCTATAGACTAAGTATAAGCACTTTACATGCCAACTAAGTGGATTTCCATTACATGCCAACCAACTGGATTTTCCAGGACTCATGGCAAAGATAAAAAGAGAACCTGGTTGGTTACGTGGATATACAAAGCAGAATGGTTGAGTATGCCAGCACGTTCCATAGAGTAGAAGATGCAACAAAGAAGACAGCGAGAGGTATAGAATTAGAATGTTTGCTTTTTCAGAGCAAATGCATTTCAGTTATGTTTCAGCCTTCTGCGGAACACCATAAAGTTTTTCAGGTACTAAATATTCATTAAATTAAGTATTAGATAAAGATTACTAAAATATAATCATTGAAAACTTCATCACATTTTGCTTTCTTAAAAAAGTCATTAAAATTTTTTAAATTAAAATATTAGTCCAGGATACTATACCTGAATAAGTGATGCTGCTTTATTTTGAACTCTTTCCAGCTTTTCCTTTTTTAACATTAATAATTTTTCCTGTGCTAAGACTCTTCGCCAATATTTCTGAATGATAAGTGCTGCATTAAGTTTTTTTCTCAATCTTTGTTTTGTTAGGAAATTGATTACAGTTGATTGAATAATTCTTGCAGCTTTCTCTCTTTTCTTAAATTAAAAAAAAGTCAGCAAATGTAAATTAAACAGTCTGTTAAAACCTTAAATTATTCTTTGTAAGATAATTGTGTGTCAAACGTCAATCAAATTCATCCTGGAAATAAAACACCCCCATCACTTCTGTTGTTCATCTTTGGAATACTGATAATTCTAGACATGTCGAAAGGGCTAATAAGGTTGGCTTGCAGATATATTTGCATGATGAAACAAAGATTCCTAAGAAATAGTCTACGATAAAGATCATACAGGTTTGCTCTATCACAGATTCTCAGGAATAAAATAAAGGCCATTTGAAGTGTAATGTAATATGTTTCTCTGATATGGGTCCACTGAATTCATGATTGACTTTTAGTAAAGGGGTGGATTGTATGAAAAAAGAAATGTTAGAGAATTCTAAGGATTTGAACAAAGCAAAACACTAAAGGGGAGAAACAAAATACCTACTCCTTTAGCACAGAATACATTGTGGCTTTAGGCCATAGAGGCTCAAGAGAAAGAGTATAGTTTGGATTAAGGTCAAAGAGGAGCCAGCTCCCCAGTTACGTTAAGAGGGCAGTACCCCCCACATCTCTATTTGTTACTTCTGATAATAAATTGTTATAAATAATAACATATTCTATGTCCAGCACCATTCTGAACACTTCATGAATAACCCATTTAAATCTCACACCAACCAACATAAGAAACAAATGGACAAATACTACTCTTAGGATCAGCAGAAAACTGAGGCAATGAGTGAAGTAGTTTGTTAGTTTACTGGGAATACAGCCAGGATTTGAACCAGTAAGTTTGGCTTTAAAGTAACTTTGCTATACTGTCCAACACTAGATTTATCACTTTACTTCATTGGAATTGGAGACTAGAAATCAATTATTTCCTCTGGTGGAAAGGAAAAACTTAGGGCAGGCATGTCTGCAATGTTTTGTGCTGCTATCTGAGACAGTCCACCATGCAAGGGTAGGCTCTACACAGAGATTACCTATAATTCCAATTATTAATTAATAACAATCAGTGGATGTCATCTGTGCATGAAAATTGTACAATACTAGAACACAATCAAACTGTTATTAATCAATAACAGTTATGGAAATAATCAAACTTATTTTTACATATAAACCAATAGATTGAAACACAAATACTAGACAATGGTAAGGGCTATATATTGGATCATTCCTATAGGGAAAAAGAGTAAACAATTCTAAAATTGGGCTGGGGGAATTATGTGTATAACAAGCTGATTAAGTCATCTAACACCATTGTCAATGCCCTTATGAAACCTATGGCCTTTAGGCTGTAGAGGCTCAAGTTAAAAGCACACCGCTATTAGAATAAATAAATAAAATTTTCAAATGTCACAGTTCAGAAGTATATCACATTTGAGTCAAAAGCTGCAAGGGTCAGGGCATTCATGGACAAAATAGGCTCAAGTATATTGTAACTTCACTCGGTTTTTACATCATCTCTACAGAACTAAAATATAACTTTACATGCCATTAGAGACGTTAAAGATGAAAAACAAAGAAATTAGAAGAGGCAAGTATATTACCAAATTTAGCAACTATTTGAAAATTGACATACACTGATGATAAAGGTTTCCATGCCTGTGGTCATTGAACCTTTTTAATCATACTGTTGTTGAGGCAGCTAGGTACAAGTTTATTTCTTTTATCTTGCCTCACATATATAGGGCCAAATTCTAGGACTTCTTTTGCTTTGAAGTTTATGGCTGTTGGTTGACAGGAAAAACAGAGAGCTGTAATGTACCAGGGGATGCTTAAATAGTTCATCAGGTAATTTTAGCCACCTGCCAAAGTTTTTCCGTCAGTTTGAGCCACTCCATTATTAACAGCTTTATGTAAAGTATAATAACATAAAAGCAAAATATAAAACCTGAAAAATAGCTATCTCAAGTTAATGTTTATATGTTTAGTAGCTTGTAATAACATAGGGAGCCTGTTGCTTAGTGTTCTAAATTGAAAATGGAAAGATATAATTGGATGTGAGGTAATTGTATAAAGAGGGAGTATGGTCACCAAGAGAAAGGAGAGAAGTAGTGGTCTGACTGGGTCCAAGAAGTTTAACCATAAGTCTAAAAATTTCTATTAATTTAGTCCTTCAAAAAATGAAAACTTCTACTATTTGCATTAAAGAAATCAAGAAAAGGAATGTCACCAGCAAAAAGCTGAGAAATTCTACAGTTAATATCTGATTAAGGCCGGGTGCAGTGGCTCATGCATATAATCCCAGCATGGTGGGAGACAAAGTCAGGCAGATCACTTCAGGCCAGGAGTTCGAGACCAGCTTAAGCAACGCAGTGAAACCCTGTCTCTACCAAAAAAAAAAAAAGTAGCTGGGTGTGGTGGCATGCACCTATAATCCCAGTTCCTCAGGAGGCTGAGGCACAAGAATTGCTTGAACCCAGAAGGCAAAATTTGAAGTGAGCTAAGATCGTGCAATTGCACTCCTGCCTGGGTAACAGAGTGAGAGACCTTGTCTCCAAAAGAAAAAAAATCTGATTAATTGAAGGCTATCTTGAGCAGAATATAAAAGCAGAATGCATATATATTTTATCTCTTGTAATTCTAAAACTCTCATTTAATGCAATATTCAAAGGGTGAATCAAATAGCTTGAGGACTGGCCAGGAGAGGCACGTTCCTGAAATTTTTCCTAAAACAATTCCGCTAGAACTGTTGGAAGCTCCTAGGGGAATTGTTTTAGGAAAGTTTTCAGGAAGTTATTCTCCAAGTGATATGTAGGTAGGGAGGCAGATCCTGAGTTGAGGGGCACTAAAGGGCACAGAGCATATGGAGTAGCAGAAAAGACCATTCCTGAATGTTAAGATACTGCCTATTTCCCAAATGTTACTATGAAGACTTTGAATAGGGCAAAAGCAGATTATTTCAATTAGTCTTAATTCCAAGTTTGATGTGGTATGAAAAAACATATATTCTGTTTAAAAGTTGCCAAAATTTAGCTGTTTTACACAGCTACCAAGAACTGTATCACAGATGCATATTTCATACTTGAGAAGGAATATTGGATGGAACATATTTCTGAAATATTTATGATGAATTTTATTAGGCATGGCTGCTTTTTTAAGTTTTCCAAATAAAGAAATATAATGCTAATTAGTAGATGGAATAGGGAGACAAAACGATTGAAATACTTGTTCAACTTGATCAAGGAGAGCATTTCTTAGATTATTAAAAGTAACAATTTTCTCAGAACTTAAGAAAACTTTTTCACATTAATGACATTTTTGTACTATTGAGGTCACAAAGGGAAACAATAAATGACAACTCTATTCTTATGCCCAGATCTTAGCATTTTGAAATATTAATAGTAGAAACCAAAATACCACTTTTAAAACCAATAAAGGATAAACTAGAAGACAGCTTCATGGCAAAAAAAATAAGTTTACTAATTAAATCACAAAATCAGACACTTGATGCCCAGGCCCAGGCAGCACTACTTGAGGTCAAGCCTCACAGAGCACAGAATAAAAAATTAATGAAAAGCTCCTGCTTTTTAGAGGCAGGATAGACTCCAGTAAGAGGAAAGAAAGGGCTGAGTCAACCATCCCTATGCATTCCTCACAAATTTAAAAAGCAGATTAAGTTATTCCTCTTCCCCTGGAACAGATTAAGTGAAGAAGTGGACAGAGACTGGAAGACATATCAAGTGAAAAGAATATTAGCAATTAGGGAGAAATACTCACACTTCCCCAACCCAAAATATATATACACAATTACTGAATTTATCTTAATGAAGTCATACATCAGTAAAATTTAAAATTGTGTCAAAAATCAATCAACTGATATCTTTTAAAGTATAATTCACACTATAGTGGTTTCATATTCTAGGAGTACCTGATGGCGTTTGAGATCTGTTTTTAGTTTATATTTTCTCCATGTCGTTTGTATGAGTCGAGCAGCTCTTATTTCTTTACGAAGATCCAAAAGCCTTGCACAAAGAAATGACAAATAGGTAATAACCACCTAAAATAAAAACCACAAAAGATAAAAACAGAATGTCAACAGAGAATACAGTACTCACTATCATCTTCTGGGACTCTTATTGAATTATTAATTAAGAAACTCTTCTTTTATTTACCTTTTCATCTGGAATTGTATTTGACATATCTGAATGATTAATCATAGCAGGTATTCCACCAAGGTCTCTAACTGCAGACCTAATCAAATGAAAATTTTTCTTTTCATTTTCTAGGAGCTCTTTGTATAGTTCTGAAGTATTTTCTATTACGCAGGAGGAAAAGAGAAATTAGATAGTTGTAGCCCCAAATCAGACATGGCAAAGAATCAGAAAAGTTAATTAACAAAAAGGGACTAACCCTGATCAAATGCCTTAAGAGACATATCCAGAGAACTTTCATCAGATTCAGATGATGAATTTAATACCACTGAACCAGTTTGCATACATTCCACAGTTTGAGTAGTACGCTGACATATAGCATCAAATGGCACATAGCAAGGATGGTAATGGTGGATCAGGTAACATAACACACGGCCGTCTGAGAAAGACACCGTAAAATTCTCCACCTGAATGAAAATACCAGAAAAACAATTAACTGCATTTAGAAAGTAATATAGATACAATGGTTTGCAGAATACCTGCGAATGATAGAGCAAGAGACTGGAGTGACAAATCTACAAGTCAAGAAATGGCAAGTTTGACTGGTAACCTCTAACATTTAAGAGAAAGAAGTAAAACAGACTCTCCCCTAGAACATTATGTGAGAGTATGGCACATCCAACACCTTCACTTCAGACTTCTTTTTTTTTGAGACGGAGTTTCGCTGTTACCCAGACTGGAGTGCAATGGCACAATCTCGGCTCACCGCAACCTCCGCCTCCTGGGTTCAGGCAATTCTCCTGCCTCAGCCTCCCGAGTAGCTGGGACTACAGGTGCGCACCACCATGCCCAGCTAGTTTTTGTATTTTTAGTAGAGATGGGATTTCATCTTGTTGACCAGGATGGTCTCGATCTCTTGACCTCGTGATCCACCCGCCTCAGTCTCCCAAAGTTGCTGGGATTATAGGCGTGAGCCACCGTGCCTGGCCTGATTTCAGACTTCTAACCTTTGGAACTGTGACAGAATAAATTTCTACTTTAAGCCACGTAGTTTGTAGTAATTTGCTCTGGTAGTCTTAGGAAACTACAACAATTAGCAATGAGAGTGGACTCTCATTTGTGAAAACTAAATTTGTGAATGCTGAACCATCACAGAGGGGAAATACAGAGATAGTGTCCTGTGAACCTCTAGTTATAACATATTTGTCAACCAATCCACACATAACCTTGTTTTATGTGTGTTTCTGATTCAATAACATTAAACTCGTGGCCAACAGCCCCATAATTCATGCCTGCATTAAAATTATTTAACGCATATATTTTCTGTATAAAGGCACATCACAGTCTTCTAAGAACACTAGACAGGACTTAATTACTATACTTGAAGGCCATTTTAAACAGGAAAATCACCAACAACAAGCACAAAAGATGCAAAAAAGCACAATGCTAAATAGGTTCCAAAAAGGACACCGTGCAAGAGCTGAAACAAAAAGACATAGTGTCACCTTGTTTGACATCAACTGGGAATGAGTAAGTAGGCATTCACACGTGTCAATGAATGACCACAAAATGCTGCAACTACTATTTTTTGACATTAAAAAGAAATTTTAGCTAGTATGCAAATTCCAAATGTGGAATTAATTAATACCGACTTTGGCTCTCCAGTATTTAGTTAAAACATAAAAGATTATCCATATGTGTAACATTTTTCCTACTAATAACTTCCTCAAAGTATAACCATATTGCAAGGTTTATCATATTTTGCTACATATACCCTGTATCACTTTGTTTTTTTATTTGTTACCAGATAGTTTATCCATGTGTTTACGGCAAATTTTTTCACATATTTACATTAAGAAGTACACTTCATAAAGAAATACAATATCAACCTAACAAATGATTATAGAATGACTAAAATTTGGTTTTTCTTCCTCTATCTAGTGGTAAGTTCTTGGTTGTCCCTTTCTGCATGTGGGCTTATTTGAATTGACCTTCATAAGGATACGATCCTTTTATGTCCCAGTTCTACGCAAGCATCTTCTATTAAGACTTCCATCTAGGGCATATTTTTCTTTTCTTAGTGATAAAATTATCATATATCATACAGTTAGTGACAGATTAGATGAACTATGGTATACAACACATTTACTCATTTGAGGAAAAGTTTGCTTACACAGATGAACTAAGAAATTGAAGAAAAGACTTTATGCATTAAGTGTAACTGACTTTCAACAAAATTTATTAAAATATATTGGGTTAAACAAAAACAAAGAAACGTACCTTTTTATTATAGAAGGCACAAACAGCATTTACCCAATCCATCAATAACTTTATGTTTTCACCATATTGTTCAAATGAACCACTATCCCTTTTGCCTTTTTTCTTATTAGTAAGAGTATCAGAATGGCATGATAGTAGAGATATTGTTTTCTTTATACTCTTTGTGTGTTTTAGAAAGGCAATTTCTTCCTTTAATTGATCTAAATTAAGAGAAATATTCACCTAAAACAAACACAAAAAAAGATAAATGCCTTTATATTTTCCAGATATTATTTTTGACCCACAGAAATAAAAGTAATTATCATCTTTTTAAAGAAAGTATAGATTTTTTAAACCAGAAAGTTAAAAAATCAAAGAAAATAAAGTGACTGAAATGGATATATAAGTACAAAACAGTCCCCCCTTTTTTTTCCCCAAAGGCAAATACCATCCACACTGAAGTGATAAAATGTTCAGTGGTTAAGAACATGAGATTTGGGGCCACATGGGATTTATCAATGATGTAAACTGTAGTTTCAGTTTCCTCATCGGAGAGGTAGACTTAACACCTACTTTGCAGGTATGTGGTGAAGATTAGAATTAAATATATATATGTATAAAGCATATATCACAGTTCCTGGGGCAAAATAAATGTTATTAAATGATACTTATTGTTATTATTTATTAGATTCAAAGTGTTTTTTAAATCAGTATTCAAAATTGATAAAAAGTACAAGATGTACCAAATATATAATACCTGGAAAGCAAACGCTATTTTCCAAAGCAACTGGAGAGTTTTTTCTCTGTGCCTATCCACAATATCCTTAGACAGAATTGTATTTCCTATAAAAGAAAAGGTTGTCCATTAGCAATAATATATGCACATATCAATATTCAGTGAGGAGAATAAGTTTTAGCTCTACTCAGTTCTTACCATGCTCATCACTTAATTCAATTCCTCGTGATTTAAGAACTTGAAGAACAATGTCAACATTGTGCATCTTTTGAAGACGACCTATTGCTGGAATCCTGAGTTTCTTTGAGAGATCCCAGTTCTGTGTGAGAAGTTCCATAGCTCGCCTAGCAGTAATAAAATGTTCAGATGAAATTGTTATATAAAAATATATATGGAAAAAACCCTTCATTGAAATATAGTTATTTCCCACATAAATCCCAGCAGTTTAAGGGCTTTCTGATAAGCAAGACTTCAAAAAGTATCTCGAAACTCTGTTGCTCCATAGTTGGCAAGTAGAGTTCTTATTTTAAGTCTGGGATTGAATTACGTGAACAGATGATAAGAAAATAAGACATACACACATAAATGCATACATGAACAAACAGGGCTCTACAGAGAAGAAGAAAGGAAAGATGTAGAGCAGAGAGGAAGCACATTTATTTATTGCGATGTACTATATTCTACATATCAAGAAGTGGTTTCTTTTCTTATTTTAGTTATCATGGTAAAGCCCACAATTAGATATTGTTAGATGAAGAAACTAAGGCCCATAGAACTTAAACGAATTGCCGATGGTCATAGAGCTGGTAATGGCAATACTAAGATGAGAAATACAATCCAGTTTTACTAGTTTCCACAATAATTCCTTTATATATTTACGTAATATATATATACTATATATAAATAATATACATAGGTGTATATATATATATATATATATATATGTACCTAGTTACTATACAAATATTTGAGTACCTAACAAAGACAAGTATACCACAGTTAGAATTCAAACCCCTCATATTGGTTGACCACTAGCATTTTATTCACTAGACAATAGTTAATATTTCCCCAGAAAAAAGCAAGCCCCAACTGATTTCTGTCTTAACAAAAAGCTGGCAGAATTACTTATAGAACCACAGTTTCTAAAGGCTAGAAAGAGACTTATTAATTCTAGGCCAAACATCCAATCAGTTGTAGACCAACCCATCACCCATAGCATTAATAGAATAACCATTACAAAGCATTCTCAAATGACTTAAAGATCTATGAAACAGTCATTTTCTTGACACTTAACAAAACAGAAATTTGGTTATGCAAGATCGATCTCTTAACTACTTAGAATTCCTAGCTGACTAAATAACATCAACATCCAACATTTCTAAGTCCTCAGTAACTCCTGTAAAAGCATAAAAATGGGCTTTCTGGCAGAGTCTGGTGGCTCACGCTTGTAATCCCAGCACTTCGGGAGGCCAAGGTGGGTGGATCACCTGAGATTAAGAGTTCCAGATGAGCCTGGCCAACATGGTGAAACCTCAAAATTTTTGTATTTTTCCATCTCCACTAAAAATATACAAAAATTAGGCAGACGTGGTGGTGCACGCCTATAGTCCCAGCTACTCGTGGGGCTGAGGCAGGAGAATTGCTTGAACCCAGGAGGCAGAGGCAGTGACCCAAGATCACCCCATTGCACTCCAGCCTGGGCGACAGGGCGAGACTCCGCCACAGGAAAAAAAAAAATAGGGATGGGGGGCTTTCTTTGTGGAAAAATAGCACTCAGCATTAAACCAATCCTTGTTCCTCCTAGAAAGTGGAAAAAGTATAAAAACATGAATTCCTATTGGCCATAATATTGATGTGGTGACTTGAATTTATGGAATAAACAAATTAACCAACTAAAAAAATAACGTGAAATATTTTAAACAAAATAATCTTAGCTTGTATGGAATTGCTCAAGTGAGACAAAGCTGTAGTAATGTTCAAAAGACTATTAACTGATGAGAATACTCATCAGAAAGAAAAGAATGTTCATGGAAATTAAGCATAAAAGAAAGCAAAGGACATGTAAATTGTTTTTGAAAAACTGGGGATTCATAAAAATCTAGGATCTCGTCCTCATAAATGTCAAAGAATTCCTTCATTCTAGCCAACTGGTCCTCTGACCTCTGCTTGAACCTTCCATAACTATGAACTGCTTTCTTTCTACACATGTCTGAATATTGGCAAGTTTTTATGCCAAACCCACATTGATCTTCCTGAAACTTTCATCGTTCATGCATAGTTATTTTGCTTGGCAATAAACAATCTAATCACTTTTGACTATAAGACAGTTCTTCAAATATATGAAAACATTTATGTCCCAGAGTTTTCTCTTCTGTTCTGTTTCTGTAAATATTCAGTTCCTTCAATGAGTTTCCATGTGACATGGATGTAAGGCTTTTAGTTGATACTCTAAAGTTATCTTTAGTAGAAACAAAGAAATTTAAAAGTATATCCAAAGAACTTTCCTATTCAGTTGAGTTTTTAAACAATTTGAATTTTAACATGAAGACTGCCTGCAATTAATTTTAGCTACAATATAAGCAATTTAAAATCTGACAAAAATGTACCAGGGTCAGGTAAAAAATTTGGTTAAGTTTTAACTATAGCAGAGATATTTTACAAAGACAATTAAACCTATGCTTCCCATACACCAACATTCAACTAGCTGTTTTGAGGCATAACAATTTCCTAAATACACAGAGAAAAAAACTTTCATTGCTTTAAAGAAATCTCTTGCCTTGACCCCAAAAGTGCTTCCCTGATAAGGATGTAACACATTTTGGAGAGTTCCCTAGAAATAAAATGAGTATCTCCAACCCAGGTATCCTGAAGAGGCCAATCATGAATCATGGCAAAATGCTAAAGTCCATTCCTTCCCAAGCAAAACTGGCTATCCATTATACATACCAAAGCCAATTTTGAGCATTCCAGTTTGTTACTGAGGAAATACTGTGTAATGTGAAGTCAGACTCTTGAGTTTATGTCGCGATTCCACTGTGGAAAACTTGGGCAATCTATTCTACCACTTCATCTCATTTTCCTCTTATGTAAAACAAGGTCGACACTACTAAAAACACTGATGCACCATTTCCCCAAAAAAGAAACGATAATTTTTTCAATACTAAATTTATTCTACTACTGAAAGAGCAAGATTGAATAATTATAAAAAAAGTGTTTTCCAGAAAATATTAGTCTACTCCATTAAGCAAAATAATTCTATTTCTTATACTTACACAAGGCGCACACCACACTGCAAGTCTACAGCAAGATTTGTAACAGCAAAATCAAATTCATCAAATGGTGTCTGAACATGGTTAACAGGTAATCCCAATAAGCCAAGGTGACGGGAAAGGTCACCTTGACCACTTAGGAAATCTCTTGAAAAAGCCAAAAGAATTTCTTTACTTGCCTATAAAGAAATAAGTCCCAGATATTATATTCCAGTATAATTTTGCTTATAATAAAAACAATCCTCCAAATCATATGTACATATAAAAATAAAATACTAATATAAAAATAGTTTCATATTATACATTAATAATGTAAATTGCATACATTTCCAACTTAAGACCTTTCTAAAAGTTGCTCATAATAATACACTATAAATACTAGCATTGGCCAGGTACAGTGCCTCATGCCCGTAATCCCAGCACTTTGGGAGGCAGAGGCGGGTGGAGCACAAGGTCAAGAGCTTGAAACCAGCCTGGCCAACATGGCAAAACCCCATCTCTACTAAAAATACAAGAATTAGTTGGGCATGGTGGCACATGCCTGTAGCCCCAGCTACTCAGGAGGCTCAGGCAGAAGAATCACTTGATCCCTGGAGGCAGAGGTTGTAGTGAGCCAAGATCACGCCACTATACTTCAGCCTGAGCAACAGAGTGAGACTCCGTCAAAATAAAAAAATAAAAACTATCATTAATTTGATAATATGCTACCTCAAAATTAGGAAGGAAATTTTCCCCAAAATTAAATTTTTAGAAACATAGTTTAATCCATTTTTCAAGTCAAAATTAAGAGTAACGATGATGTGCTGGTTAAAGGTAAATCAATAAAAATCAGGGATGGTCAGAATTACTGATGGAACGAACTCACTAGACAGGCATTCCCATATTACTCCCCTGAGTATTATTCTTTGGAAAACTAATTTTTTTTTTCCTAAAGAGAAAATATACTATAAAAGCAAGAAAAATTCTTAAATGGGAAATACAAAATATAAAGCATAAAATGAAAACCATACCTTGAATTCAGCATCTTTACAAAAGAGACAAGGATCATGATCAATGAGTCTGGAAATTTTAGCATAATCAAGAAAACAGACCAACAACAATAACTTTTTCAAGGTGAATTTGGACAAAGCTTCTTCATGACCTTAAACAAAGTACAAAAAAGCATAGCAAGTTAATCTATGAAAGGTAGGTTTCACCTTAAAATATGATAATGATAATAATGTGTTAGTTAAAAAAAGCGGGGGCAGCTAGCACAAATAAAACACTACATGCGGTAGGTTTCACCTTAAAATATGATAATGATAATAATGTGTTAGTTAAAAAAAGCGGGGGCAGCTAGCACAAATAAAACACTACATGCCTTTTTTAGTGCTTTATGTGTATAACTCCATGTATTCCTCCCAATTGCTCTATGGGACAGGTACATACCACTTAATATTTTCAATTTATAGATGAGGAAACAGGCACAGAGGCATCAAGAGATTTAGTAGGTCTTACTCAGCAAATATTTAATGAATACCTACGATATGCAGCACTATCATAGGTGCTAGAAATATAGTAGCACACTACAACAAATGTGACCCCCATATGACTTACAACCTACTGGGAGGAAAAATGGGTAGAGACCGCAAATAGAATTATAAACAGTGATGGAGGAATTGATGGGGAATGAGGGTGGAGGAAGGGGAAGTACTACAAACAGAGATTAGATTGGTTTCTTTGAGAAAGGAAAATGTAAATAGAAACAGGAAGAATGACAAGAAGCCTTTATGTGTAGTGTGGAGAGAATGTAGGAGAGGCAGAGATACTTACCATCTCTATACAGATGAGGAACAGTGGGATGTCTATACTCAGCTGCTATATCAGGATTCCAAAGTAAGCGATTCAGAATAAACACAGCTAATCCTGTGACATCACTGTTATCTTCCAAAGATATGAGTTCTCCATAAACTGTCTACAAAGAAGTTAAAGCCAAAGTCAGAATTATGCTATCTCTAAGAAACAAAGGGATGTGACTGAGGAATGACAGACCATAACCTCGGGAACTGGCAGAGTCCTTCTTTTTAAATGACATGGTTATTTGCTAAATAACCTCTTTAAACTAAGCATATATAATTTATGTAGTTTTTAGTGTATATGGTATACTTTATAATGAAAAATGGCAAAGCTCAGGACTAAGATAGTCTTAATTATCTGACAAGCAATATTCCCATTTTAATTTTTTCATTTACGTTAAATAACTATCAAATACAGGCATGTTGTTCAAATTTATTTTTAACTGTCCCATTAAGTACATCATGAAAATATGACAGAAATCTAAATATTCTAATTTTTATAATAGTTATCAAGGTAGAAAAACATCTGCAAATCATCTAAGATAATTTGGAAAGTTCAGATGTTTACAATCAATGACTTATATATGAAATTAGTTTAACATTAGCTTGCTTATTAATAATTTTTAAAGCAATTAGAAATAAACTTAAAAAAAAATCAAATTCTGTGACCCTACATTGACAAAATATAAAGATTAAACAATGGAAAAATATTAATACCTACCAAAATAGAGGTATTTATCTTTATTTACTTTTTTTTGGCCTTTGAAACTTTCTTAAAATCATCAAAGGTCATGGCCATTTATTTACAGAATCCTAGGGTATAGTAATAAGGTACCTGTAAAAAGATTATACATCCCTACCACCTGCCATAAATTCGCTATGACATGTGGGAGGTTAATACAGTCCTACCTAGTTTGTGCTTAGCCAGATAATGCGTTTCGGCCCAAGGAATGTGGGTGGAGATGATACAAATTACATCGAAGAGGTTTCAAAAAGCATTGCAAGATTCCACCCAAAGTTCTTGATTTTATTTCTGCCACAAAAAAGCTATGTCCCAAATATGGGGACTCTACTTCTATTGAGGTTCCAGAATTGTTTCACATGTGAGGCAGAGCCAGTTGATATGTAATTTGTCAACTATTTAAAGGGGGATACTGGAATTGAAATAAGAAATCCCAGCAATGACACCATAATGCTGTGTAGCCACAGTAAGCCTATTATTTATTCTCTCTGGGCCTCAATTAATTGATAATATAAAAGCCAGATTATTACAAAGATCCTGTTCAGTCCCAAAGACTCTTCTATTCCAAAACCTGGAATAAATTAAAATCGTAATGAGAGATCCTACATTAAGAAGGTAAGAAACCGGGAGGACTCAAGATGGCGCTGTGAGAACAACCCAGGATTGGAGCTCTTCTCGTTGAATCCGCAAACAGTGAGTCAGAGCGGCATTTCCAGACTGATCTCTGTTGCCCACAGAACGGGGAAACTCCCAAGTATAAAAAAGACACGGGACGCCAGGCAGTAGGTCTGCCTGGCAAAGCCGGCAGCCGGGGCGGCGGCAGCCGGCCCTACCCAGCAATCCCCACAGGGCGCGCTTGTCTGGGTGCCCTGTTGAACCGGCAACCTGAGACTTGAGAGGGCTGGACTTGAGACTGAACGAGACTTGGACAGTAGGCCAGCCCAGGGGATTGCAGGGATTGGGATACCCAGTGGGACGAACAAAACCGTGATTTCAAACTATCCCGAGCAGACGGTCCGAGAAGCTCTGTGGGGGAGGGGCGTCCACCACTACCGAGGCAACCCACCCCAACTGAGATACACGCCCACTGCTGATGCAGCCAGCCGTTGCCGAGGCAACCCGCCCCAACTGAGATACACGCCCATTGCTGACGCAGCCAGCCGTTGCCGAGGCAACCCGTCACTACTGAGATACACGCCCACTGCTGACGCAGCCTGCCGTTGCTGAGGCAACACGCTACAACGAAGAGACTCGACCGCAGGGCGTGGCGGAGACCACAGCAGAGCCGGCAGGAACAGCGCGAATCACACAACAGCAGGGCGGAGCCTCGACAGCCAAACAGTGGCTAGTCTGCCTTCTAGCTGGGCAGGACACCTGATCGGACATCCAAAAATAAAGCCCAAACCCCTCAACACAGAGCATTTGAGAAAAAAAAAAAAAAAAAAAAAAAAAAAAAAAAAAAAGGGGGTTTTTTTAATGAGCTCTGTTGCAGCAGAATAAAACATAGCAGCCTAACAGCCCTGAATGAACAACAGAGTGCACAGCCCAGCAATTAAACCCCTATAAAGTACAAACTGTCTCCTCAAGCAGCTCCCTGACCCCTCTATATCCAAAAGACTGACATTAGGCAGGCACCATCCTGGGACAAAGAGAGCAGAAAAAGAAACTGGTAGCATCCCTCGCTGTGCCACAGCTACTAGAGGTGCACCCCAGACAAGCAGGGTCTGGAGCGGACCTCAGTAGTCGTACAGCGAAGGGGCTAGACTGGTAGAAGGAAAATCAAGCAACAGAAATACTTCATCATCAACATTCTGGGTGTCCACTCAGAGACCCAAACGAAAAGTCAGCAACTACGCAGACGACCAGCAGACAAATCCACAAAGATGGGAAGAAACCAGCGCAAAAAGGAGGAAAACACCCGAAACCAGAACACCTCGCCTCCTAGAAAGGACCAAAACTCCTCACCAGCAAGGGAGCAAAGCTGGACGGAGAATGACTGTGACGAAATGACGGAATTAGACTTCAGAAGATGGATAATGAGAAACTTTTGTGAGCTAAAAGATCATGTATTAAATCAATGCAAAGAAACTAAGAACCTTGAAAAAAGATTTGAAAAAAGATTCGAGGAAATGATAACAAGAATGGATACCTTAGAGAGGAATATGAATGAATTAAAGGAGCTGAAAAACACAATACGAGAACTTCGCGAAGCAAACACAAGTTTCAATAGCCGAATTGACCAAGCAGAAGAAAGAATATCCGAAGTCGAAGACCAACTCAATGAAATAAAACGAGAAACCAAGATCAGAGAAAAAAGCGCAAAAAGGAATGAACAAAGTCTCCAAGAAATGTGGGACTATGTGAAAAGACCTAACCTACGTTTGATAGGTGTACCAGAAGGGGACGAAGAGAATGAATCCAAGCTGGAAAATACTCTTCAGGGCATCATCCAGGAAAATTTCCCCCACCTAGCAAGACAAGCCAACACTCAATTGCAGGAAATACAGAGAACACCACAAAGATATTCCGCAAGAAGAGCAACCCCAAGGCACATAATCGTCAGATTCAACAGGGTTGAAATAAAGGAGAGAATACTAAGGGCAGCCAGAGAGAAACGTTGGGTCACCCACAAAGGGAAGCCCATCAGACTCACAGCAGATCTCTCGGCAGAAACTCTACAAGCCAGAAGAGAGTGGGGGCCAATATTCAACATCCTTAAAGAAAAGAACTTTCAACCCAGAATTTCATATCCAGCCAAACTGAGCTTCAGAAGTAAAGGAAGAATAAAATCCTTTGCGAACAAGCAAGTACTCAGAGATTTTGTCACCACCAGGCCTGCTTTACAAGAGCTCCTAAAAGAGGCACTACACATAGAAAGGATCAATCAGTACCAGCCATTCCAAAATCACACTGAATGCTAAAGAGCTTCAACATAATGAAGAATCTACAACAACTAACAGGCAAAACAGCCACTTAGCATCAAAATGGCAGTATCAAATTCACACGTAACAATATTAACCCTAAATATAAATGGACTAAATGCACCAATCAAAAGACACAGACTGGCAAATTGGATAAAAATCCAAAACCCATCAGTGTGCTGTATCCAGGAAACCCATCTCACATGCAAGGATACACAAAGGCTCAAAATAAAGGGATGGAGGAAGATTTACCAAGCTAATGGAAAGCAAAAAAAAGCAGGAGTTGCAATTCTCATCTCTGATAAAATAGACTTTAAAGCAACAAAGATCAAAAGAGACAAAGAAGGCCATTACATAATGGTAAAAGGATCGATACAACAAGAGCTAACGATCCTAAACATATATGGACCCAACACAGGAGCACCCAGATACATAAGGCAAGTTCTTAATGACTTACAAAAGGACTTAGACTCCCACACAATAATAGTGGGAGACTTTAACACTCCACTGTCAATACTAGACAGATCAACCAGACAGAAAATCAACAAGGATATCCAGGGCTTGAACTCAGACCTGGAGCAAGCAAACCTGGTGGACATTTACAGAACTCTCCACCCCAAATCCACAGAATACACATTCTTCTCAGCACCACATCACACCTACTCTAAAATTGACCACATAATTGGAAGTAAAGCCCTGCTCAACAAATGCAAAACAACTGAAATCATAACAAACAGCCTCTCAGACCATAGTGCAATCAAGTTAGAACTCAGAATTCAGAAACCGACCCAGAACTGCACAGCTTCATGGAAACTGAACAACTGGCTCTTGAATGTCGACTGGGTAAACAACGAAATGAAGGCAGAAATAAAGAAGTTCTTCGAAACCAATGAGAACGAAGACACAACGTGCCAGAACCTCTGGGACACATTTAAAGCAGTCTCTAGAGGAAAGTATATAGCAATAAGTGCCCATATGAGGAGAATGGAGAGATCCAAAATTGACACCCTATTGTCAAAATTGAAAGAGCTAGAGGAGCAAGATCAAAAAAACTCAAAACCCAGCAGAAGACAAGAAATTACTAAGATCAGAGCTGAGCTGAAGGAGACTGAGACACGAAAAACCCTTCAAAAAAATCAATAAATCCAAGAGCTGGTTTTTTGAAAAGATCAACAAAATAGACAGACCACTAGCCAGATTGATTAAAAAGAAAAGAGAGAACAACCAAATAGATGCAATAAAAAATGATAAAGGGGAAATCACCACAGATTCCACAGAAATTCAAACCATCATCAGAGAATATTACAAACAACTATATGCGCATAAACTAGTAAACCTGGAAGAAATGGATAAATTCCTGGACTCCTGTGTCCTCCCAAGCCTAAACCAGGAGGAAGCTGAAACTATGAATAGACCAATAACAAGGTCTGAAGTCGAGGCAGCAATTAAGAGCCTACCTCACAAAAAAAGCCCAGGTCCAGACTGGTTCACAGCCGAATTCTACCAGACACACAAGGAGGAGCTGGTACCATTCCTTCTAAAACTATTTCAAACAGTCCAAAAAGAGGGAATCCTTCCCAAATCATTTTATGAGACCAACATCATCCTGATACCAAAACCCGGCAGAGACCCAACAAGAAAAGAAAACTTCAGGCCAATATCCATGATGAACATAGATGCAAAAATCTTCAATAAAATATTGGCAAGCCGATTGCAACAGCAAATCAAAAAACTTATTCATCATGATCAAGTAGGATTCATCCCGGGGATGCAAGGCTGGTTCAACATACGCAAGTCTATCAACGTAATTCACCACATAAACAGAACCAAAAACAAAAACCACATGATTATCTCAATTGACGCAGAGAAGGCATTTGACGAAATTCAACAGCCCTTTATGCTAAAAACCCTCAATAAACTCGGTATCAATGGAACGTATCTCAAAGTAATAAAAGCTATTTATGACAAACCAACAGCCAATATCATACTGAATGGGCAAAAACTGGAAGCATTCCCTTTGAAATCTGGCACTAGACAAGGATGCCCTCTCTCACCACTCCTATTCAATATAGTACTGGAAGTTCTAGCCAGAGCAATCAGGCAAGAAAAAGAAATAAAGGGTATTCAAATAGGAAAGGTGGAAGCCAAATTGTCTCTATTTGCAGACGACATGATAGTATACCTAGAAGACCCCATTGCCTCAGCCCAAAAACTCCTGAAACTGATAAACAACTTCAGCAAAGTCTCAGGATATAAAATCAATGTGCAAAAATCACAAGCATTCGTCTACACCAATAACAGACTTAAAGAAAGCCAAATCAAGAGCAAACTGCCATTCGCAATTGCTACAAAAAGAATAAAATACCTAGGAATACAACTCACAAGGAATGTAAGGGACCTCTTCAAGGAGAACTACAAACCACTGCTCAACGAAATCAGAGAGGACACAAACAGATGGAGAAACATTCCATGTTCATGGTTAGGAAGAATTAATATCGTGAAAATGGCTATACTGCCCAAAGTAATTTACGGAATCAACGCTATCCCCATCAAGCTACCATTGACTTTCTTCACAGAACTGGAAAAAACCACCATGAACTTCATATGGAACCAAAAGAGAGCCCGCATAGCCAAGTCAATTCTAAGCAAAAAGAACACAGCGGGGGGCATCACACTACCGGATTTCAAACTATACTACAAGGCTACAGTAATCAAAACAGCATGGTACTGGTACCAAAACAGAGATATAGACCAATGGAACAAAACAGAGGCACTGGAGGCAACACAACATATCTACAACTATACAATCTTTGATAAACCTGACAAAAACAAGCAATGGGGCAAGGATTCCATGTTTAACAAATGGTGTTGGGAAAACTGGCTAGCCATGTGCAGAAAGCAGAAACTGGACCCCTTCCTGACACCTTACACTAAAATTAACTCCAGATGGATTAAAGACTTAAACATAAGACCTGGCACCATAAAAACCCTAGAAGGAAATCTAGGCAAAACTATCCAGGACATAGGAGTAGGCAAGGACTTCATGAACAAAACACCAAAAGCATTGGCAACAAAAGCCAAAATAGACAAATGGGACCTAATCAAACTCCACAGCTTCTGCACGGCAAAAGAAACAGTCACTAGAGTGGATCGGCAACCAACAGAATGGGAAAAAATTTTCGCAGTCTACCCATCTGACAAAGGGCTGATATCCAGAATTTACAAACAACTCAAGCAGATTTACAGGAAAAAAACAAACAAGCCCATTCAAAAGTGGGCAAAGGATATGAACAGATACTTTACGAAAGAAGACATATATGAGGCCAACAATCATATGAAAAAATGCTCATCATCACTGGTCATCAGAGAGATGCAAATCAAAACCACATTGAGATACCATCTCACGCCAGTTAGAATGGCGATCATTAATAAATCTGGAGACAACAGATGCTGGAGAGGATGTGGAGAAAAAGGAACACTTTTACACTGTTGGTGGGAGTGTAAATTAGTTCAACCATTGTGGAAGACAGTGTGGCGATTCCTCAAGGCCTTAGAAATAGAAATTCCATTTGACACAGCAATCCCATTACTGGGTATATATCCAAAAGACTATAAATCGTTCTACTATAAGGACACATGTACACGAATGTTCATTGCAGCACTGTTTACAATAGCAAAGACCTGGAATCAACCCAAATGCCCATTGATTATAGACTGGATTGGAAAAATGTGGCACATATACACCATGGAATATTATGCAGCAATCAGAAATGATGAGTTCGTGTCATTTGTAGGGACATGGATGAATCTGGAGAACATCATCCTCAGCAAACTGACACAAGAACAGAAAATGAAACACCGCATATTCTCACTCATAGGTGGGTGATGAAAAATGAGAACACATGGACACAGAAAGGGGAGTACTAAACACTGGGGTCTATTGGGGGGAAAAGGGGAGGGCCAGTGGGAGGGGGAGGTGGGGAGGGATAGCCTGGGGAGAAATGCCAAATGTGGGTGAAGGGGAGAAGAAAAGCAAAGCACACTGCCATGTGTGTACCTACGCAACTGTCTCGCATGCTCTGCTCATGTACCCCAAAACCTATAATCCAATAAAAAATTTAAAAAAAAAAGAAGGTAAGAAACCTCAAAAAAAAAAAAAAGTGTGAAAACATACTAGTAAAATACTAAATAGGGATGCACAGATATTTTTCATAAAAATTATCTTTAAACAATTATTAATAGTAGCTTTCTAATTAAATTGGTTTTAACATTCTAGATATTACAGAGCCAAGTACTAGATAAATAATGGAAATCCTGATGGCATTTTTATGAGTACTATTCCATCAGATTGGTATAGGTTCAATTCCTGATCAATTAATTGGTATACAGCAAGTCACTTTAACATCTAAGCTTCTGTTTTGTTAGTGAAGTGGAAATAATAATACATACCTCACTGGGTTTTAAGAATTTAATTAGAAAATGTATTCAAAGCAGCCTTGTCTTTGCATTTGTAAATTTTCAAAAATGAGTTTACTATAGGTGTCATTACATCCAGTACCAAATTATGTTTATTTAAGAGACTATACAGTAAAATGTAGTATAGCAATATGGTGTAATAATATATAATGGCATAGTCTATTTACCTAATAAGCATTTATTAATGGGTCTTACATTTTACACTAAAAGATGAATCAGGCTAACCTAATGATTTTATAAGTTTTATAAGTAAAACCACATTTTAATAAAATGAGTCTATTCTACAAAAAATGTGTAATAAAAACATATTGTTTTCAAAATCTGAATTGTGTGCTTACCTCTAGACCAATTCGAAGCCACAAAGGATTGTATGACAACAGCCAATTTAGGACTTTCTGACGTTCTCCTGAAATACATGTCAAAGGCAAACATGTTCAAATGGATAATCAAAGAGAGACAAAAAATAAAACTTCATGGAGAGTATATCACTGGGGAAAAAAATAATTGCCTATATGAAATAAGTTAATTTAAATAAAATACACTTCTAGTCTTAAATATACATGATCTCTTTGGCAGCAAAGATAATGCATCTATACCTAGCTTTGAAATACAAAATCTTTTGGGGAAATCAGTATCTGAAAGAGATTCCTGCATTCTTATGTTCATGGCAGCATTATTCACAATATCCAACATATGAAATCAATCTAAGTGTCCATCAATGAATAAGTGGATAAAGAAAATGTGGGGGTGTGTGTGTGTATGCATATATGTTAAATATATATATATAATGAAGTACTATTCAGCCTTAAAATCAAAGAAATCCTATCATTTGTGATAACATGGATGAATCTGGAGGATATTATGCAAAGTGCAATAGCCTAGACACAGAAAAACAGATACTGTATTATCTCATTTATATGTGAAATCTAAAAAAGTTGAACTCATAAAAGCACATAGAATGTTGGTTGCCAGGGAATATGGTAGAGAGTTGGGGAGATGGTGTCAAAGGGGTACAAAGTTTCGGTTACACAGAACTTATAAATTCTGGAGATCTAACGTATACCATGATGACTATAGTTAAAAACAAGTGAATCGTATACTTGAAATTTGCTGAGAATACTTCTTAAATGTTCTCACCACACGTACACACAAAGGTAACTATGTGAGTAGATATATTAATTTGCTTATTATAATCATTTATTAATATATACACGTATCAACAACATGTTACATACCTTAAATATATGCCATTTTTATTTGTCAATTATACGTCAATAAAGCTGAGGGAAAAAAACCCCACAAAATCTCTTGAATACTTTTAAAGAATTAATGTCAAGATTTCTGCAATGTTCTTACCCACATCTTTCCATAGGTGTCTATCTTTTCGAACAATTAACTGCCTGGCTTCAATTTCAATTTCAAGCTTTTTAATAGCTTTAACCATTTTTTCAGAAGTAAATAAAAGGCATGCTGCACGACGTAGTCTGTTTAACCTATACCGAGCAGTATAAGCTCTGAGAGACATTTCCTCTTTTGTAGGTGCTCTAGGAACACTTATTTTATGTTGATTCTCCACTCCCAAAAGAAGAGTAGCAGCATTTACTGGGTAAAAACAAAAGAAAGAATGTTTCTGGTTAAACGATATCTCTACATATTCTTAAATCCAGCAATAAAATGTAATTTCAGATGGTAAAAACAGAATCTATTCCTCACCCCTCCCCAAGCTGACTCCTTAGGCCAGTCTATCACTGCAACCTATTAGCTCTACCTGCAAAATATACTCCAAGTCTAACCACTTCTCAATGCTTCTGCTATCACATAAATTCAAACATGATTATCTCTAATCCAGACTAATGAATTAACCTAACTGGTTTATTTGTTCCCATCTTCTTTACAGATTAATGAAAGTCAAGTTTCTAAGAAATATAATTTTTAAAAAATCAGTTGAATTTTGCAATGTAATTTAAACTTTTATAAAACACATTTTCTTTCAAGAAGAGAATTTTAAAAATGGGGCTTTGCTTCCTTTTAAAAAAAAAGAACAACTTTTTTTTTTTTTCTTTTTGACGTGATCTCTAAGATCACTGCTTAGAGAGCATCTAATTCAAAACCCTTTTAATACAAAAATCCAGCCAGGTACAGTTGCTCACACCTGTAATCCCAGCTCTTTGGGAGGCCAAGGCTGGTGAATTACTGGAGCGCAGGAGTTCAAGACCAACTCTGGTAACACAGCAAGAACTTGTCTCTTCAAAAACAAAAAATAGTAATAAAAAAAATTGCCAGGCATGGGGGCATGTACCTGTAGTCACCTGTATGCACTTGGGAGGTTGAGGGAGCAAGATGGCTTGAGCCTGGGAGGTGGAGGCTGCAGTGAACAGCGATCACATCACTGCACTCCAGACTGAGGGAGTGAGACCTCGTCTCCAAAAACAAAACAGGAAAACATCCTATACATGTGCTTCTCTGACAAAAATAAGCCAGTGTCTGTCTGAATGCCAGGACAAGAGGAAAATCATCACTTTAAAAGTTAGCCTATATAATGGTTTGACAATTTTAACATTTATAAGAATTTTTCCTTATCTTGAGCTGAAATTGATCCCTATAACTTCTATGCAGGAGCTGCACAAAAGTTAAGGTTCCTTCTCTTTCACAAGGAGACACTTCACATGTTTGAAAGGCACATCTCTACCTTGTCCCTTTCCCAAGGTTTTTCTTTTCTAGAATAAACACTGAAATGTTTAAAAAATTCCTCATATGAATTGGTGTTCAGTTTCCTCATAATCCTATATCTTTCTGACATACTTCTTAAACCAAGATATTTAACAGTGGGGAAAATATGCCCAAAGTGGGCAAGCCACACAGGACTTGCCCATTGACTAAGAGGAGTGAATAGAGAACAAAAAGTATATTTCAGTACTTTTGGTATGAAAAATCTACATATATAAATTTATGTAAGTAAAAATTCTTACCTATATAAGCATTTAGGCTAATGAACAATGAATTATGCCATTAATTATAATAACTATGTAAAATTAAACAATGACAAACCATGTTAAAAATTTGGTCTGTTAGAAATACTATTAAATTTAAACAGTAATTTAACGTTTACCTTCAGAAATATTTGTTTTTACAGTGAAGTCATCAGGGGTTAATATAAAATTTAGCCACCAAGTGAAGCCCTGTTCCTGCTTTTCCTTCCAGCGTTCATCATAAAACATGTTTTTTGCAGCAAATGGCATTGGGTGTCTGGGAATACCTAAGAATACAATTAGGTTACTGCATAAGAAAATTTCTCTTATTATACAAAATATATTAAAAGCCATTTTTACTAGCAATACCATCTTAAAAACACTAAATAGTATTTGCTTTTCTACTACTTGCTGGAAAGAGCTGAAAGCATTTTGGTTATGAAATGTGATGAGAGCAAAATGCGGAAAAGTAAAGCAGTATTTCCTGGTTATTTAAAAACACTGAACTGCCATGAATCACCTGCATTAAAGTCTGATAGAATATCTTTTTTATAATTGATGCATAATAGATGTACATTTTTTTTTGAGGTACATGTGATCATATAACCATAGAATTGATACAAATCAGATCAGTGTGCTTGGGGTAGCCATCACCTTAAATATCTATCTTTTCTTTATGCTAGAAACATGAGTTATTCTCTTCCAGCTATTTTGAAATATGCAATCGATTACTATAGTGACCTACTGATTTATTGAACATTTGGTCTTTCTTTTATCAAACAGGAAGTTGACAGAATATCTTGTCATTTTAATAAACACTTAACAATTCTTCCAGGCTTTTATTCAACAACAAAAATCAATTCATTTCCATGTGAAATGCAATTAACGCTTCATTCAATGTCATGTTTTCAGAGAGTTTAACTATAATAAATACTTGCCTGTTTTTAGTGGTTTTATGAAGGTCAAATTAGACTGTGCCACGGTGATAATGGGTTTTGTCCTTTTACTTGTTTTAAATATTGGAGTTTTGAACTCTAAAATAAATTAGAAAAAAAATTGAGAGCATTGAAATATAAAATAAATTCCCTAAATAGACAAGTGATTTGAAAGTTAGTTTGGATTCTTCACAATCATATTCATTTAGCAAATATTTAATAACCACTGTGCTCCAGGCACCAATGCTATGAATTCAGTGGTCTATCAAACCAACATACAGAAGTTACAGACTATAAACCACAATTTATTTTGTGTTTATAGAGGCTAAAGTCTAGATTCAACCACAACTTATTGTGCCTGTATATTCCAGACTTTTTGCTAGGTGCTGAGAATATGCAGAATTGAAAAATATGCCTCTAGCCCTGAGGTGGTTTTCAGTCTGGTAAAAAAGAAGTTTAAAAATGGTAGAAGTGCCTTCCCAGATGGGAGTCTACTTGAGTTAACTCCTAAAATTAAAATCAGGCATGAGGAATGTGGCCTGTTGCCATAACTGCAATAAGGATGAAGGAAAGAATACATGTAGGAAATGACATGCAAGAGGCTGGAAGAGGTAGGGAGGATTTCAACAATATTAAAAATAATAGTGGCAGCTAATAGTTAAATACTTCGTGCTAGGCACTATCATAATCTTTTTCTCACATAATTATGAGAAGTATACTATTATTACCACAATGTATGTAATTAGGATACTGAGGCTTTGAGCAATTAAGCCACATGGTCAAGGTCACATAAGCTAGTAAGTAGCAAAAATTTGAACCAAGGCAGTATAGTTAGAGACTCCACTATTAATCACTTTGAAGCACCTACTATGCAGGCGAAGAATTTTAATCAAGGAAGTAAAACCCTCAGTTATATTTAAGAAAACAGTATGGACAATGGAATGAGCAGGGTCAAGATTAGAAAGAGAAAATGACAAAGCAGTTATTGCAATGACCCAAGGTAGATATGGTGAGACAAATTAAAACAGAGTCAAGGGAGACAAATCAGAGGAGAGTTATTTTAATAGTGGAAGCAACAAGCCTTAATATCAACTTATGAGAAGAGTGATAGAGAGTAAAAGGCTGATTCCCAAGTATGTCACCAGGATTGTTGATATAATGCCAGGTGGCTACCAAAGAAAACACAATACAAATCACAGTAGTAAATAACCTACTGGAATAGCAGTTTACTCTTTCAAAAACAGGTTTCACAACAGCACTGCTACTAAATATAAGCAAAGATTTAATAAGAAACTACATCTCCCATGCAAAATCCTCCAAACTATTTTTGTATGTTTCAAGAGCTAAATAGAGCTTTTACGTTTGTAAAGAGTTAAAAAAAATTCAAAATAAAATTTCACAAAACACAAAACTTACATGAAAATCAAATTTTGGTGTTTATAAATAAAATTTTACTGAACCACAGCCACACTCACTGTTGCACATTGTCTATGGCCACCTTCTGCTTTCCTACAAGAGCAGCAGAGTTGAGTAATTGCAATGCAGATCTACATGGCCTGCAAAGCCTAAAATGCTTACCGTCTGGACCAGTAGAGGAACAGTTTGCTTACCCTTGTTATAAAGGGATCTCAAACCTCTATCAATTGTGAAAATAAGGAATATAATTAAATTGCAACATAATATTAGATTGTAACCTTCTATGAATTTGAACATTTAAAAAGTACATTTCTAAGGAGAAATTCCTCATTCTAAAATCTTACAGAAATTAGTCCCTCTACCTGGAACCATTTTCTTCTTTAGGAAGTCTTTCTTGGAACCATTACATTATGAAATATAAATGTAAATTTATTGCAATTTACACACAAACCCTCTGCTTCTGTAATTCCCTGAGCAAAGCAAAATCACAGGACCGACTGCAACTTGAGGACAGGAATGATACCTTTCCTTCCTGTGTACAGCGCCTAGAAAAATGCACCTCATATAGTAGGCACCATATCAGCCAAATAAATGTATCTAGCAAAAAGGCTCAACCAGGTGGCTGCCTCAAACAAACAGCAGGTGTGAGTGTCAACACTTCAGTGGCTTATTTATTCATTTATTTACTTATCCATTCATCTATCTTTTATTGTACATCTTGTAGGAAATTAAAATAAGTATGTTCCTTACAATCAAAGAATTTGTTACTGATCAGAACATATCCATAGCAAACAACAAAAGCAAAGAACAAGAGTTAACAGGTACAAGATGTCACATAAGCTATATTCACATTTGCTAACGAAATGTACTAGCAAATACGCAAGTAAAGTTTAATACAACCTTATCAATAGCAGATTTACTAAACCAAAAGGAAGTATGCCCTTTACAGGTATGTTTTTTTTTTTGAGACAGAGTTTCACTTGTTGCCCAAGCCGGAGTCCAGTGGCAGATCTCGGCTCACTGCAACCTCTGCCTCCCAGGTTCAAACAATTCTCCTCTCTCAGCCTCCCAAGTAGCTGGGATTATAGGCAGGCACCACTACGCCTGGCTAATTTTTTTCTTCTAGTTTTAGTTTCACCATGTTGGCCAGGCCAGTCTTGACCTCCTGACCTCAGATGATTGCCCACCTCAGCCTCCCAAAGTGCTGGGGGTAACGTGAGCTACCGCGCCTGGCTTACTTCAGTAGATTTTATAAACAAGACTCACCAGTTTTCTTCTTCAGGCTTAATTTCTCTCTGTTGCCAATACGTTTTGAGATGGGTGCTATCACATTTTTTGTTTTCTTAACAGTTGATGTTTTAGGCTCTGAGGGAGAAAAATGGATTCTTTTGATGCCTCGCACTTCTGTATGTTCTGTAACCGCAACTCTCACACTTGCATCTCCCATGCTTCCATCACGCTTTCTTTTCCGAGCAACTGAAGCTGTTGTCAAAGACGGTGTTATTTCATTTTTATAACTTTTAGATTTACTTAATACTGGATCTATAATTGGAAGATAAGAATGAAAATCTTCTTTTTCCTTTTGATTATTTACTATTTTTTCATTTTCACCCACTGCACTGTTGAGACATCTTTTTGCTTTTGGTTTATTAATCTCAGTTTGGTTTTCTCTGGTACAGGTGGGCTTCCTTTTAGTAACAGTGGCAGAAAGTATTGGGCGTCTCTTAGGTTGTTTATTGTAGCTATGACTAGAAATATCCTTAACTGCAGGAAATTTAGGCTGATTTTGTTTTATAAAACTGCAGCAATTTGACTTCATTTCTACCAGTTCTTCAAAAGTAGCTTTGGGAGATTTTGAAGGCTGACATTCAGAAATACATGGGAAAACTTCACTTTTTCTCCAATCTTGAAGAGATTGCGGGAATTGAGAATTTTCATTTGATAGTGGTACTTTACATGTTTGCTGAGATGTACGCATACATGCCATGTTATCTTTCAAAAATTGATATGGGGATAAAATGGAATTAATTGACTCTGATTCTAGATCCTGATTTAGTCCATAATTATCTTTTATGAAATAATCTGGACTTAAAATTTTCTGATAAATTTCACGTGCAGGTGTTGATTCCAAATGCACAGGCTTTGAATTATCTTTCATAAACATGTCTGATGAAAGACATATCCCTAATTCTAGTTCATTATTATCTCCCCGACTGTTATTTACAAAAGAATCTGGACTTAGAAAATTTCTTTGGCTTTGTGTAATGTTCAAAGTTGAAGAACAGTTTGGGGCAAGAATAAGTTTATTATTCTCTCCACTTTGGTCATTAACATTTATGGAATTTAAAAAAGTTTCAGAAACAACTTTCTCATTAAAATCATTTTTTGAAACATTGGCACTGTCCACATTCAACAGTTCCCTATTTTCTAATGCATGAAAAGATGAGTAGGCAGTAGATTGACGTACAGAAAGTGGCAAGCAAGTTGCACCACGGCATTCATTGAACGCAGGGCTAATAGGTGATAGGAGTATTTTATTTTCTTCAAGTGTTAAATAATTGTTTTCTTTTGGGGAACCACCTTCATTCACAGCTCGATTTTCACAGGCTTGCAGTGGGCTCCTAATTCGGTCAACTTTTTGGGAAACACTAAATGTTTTAACATTTTGAATATTTGAAACCCTTCTGTTTTGACTTGTAGAGGCTGAAATTTTCTTCTTTTTAATGATATCCCAAATATTCCTCTGCAAAAATAAGCAAAATATACCAATTAAGAATGTAGCTACTATTACCTTTAAATAAGCAATATTACTTCAAGCCTGTTATCAAAATAAATTTTACATAAAACACTTTCTTAGAGTAAATCACAGAATGGTTAAAACATTACCTTTTTCTTTTTCTGCTCTTCTGCGTTTCCTAATAATATAGCTTGGTGTTTCAGAACATCATTTACAAGAAATGTCATAATCTCTCTTACTCGGCCTTCTTTGATTGGTGTCCAGTTAACAGAAATAACAATTTTCTCTTTAGGCTATAATCAAACAATACATTATATAACTACAGTAGTAATTATATGATAACCAAAACACATTATATGTAACTTACAGTAGGGCTTAATAATTGTTAATCAACACTCTATACATTAACATTTAATAAATTGAATATAATTTTCCTTCTCTATCTGCTCATTTAAAGAAAAAAAGTCCCAGGGCCGGGCGCGGTGGCTCAAGCCTGTAATCTCAGCATTTTGGGAGACCGAGGCAGGTGGATCACGAGGTCAAGAGATCGAGACCATCCTGGTTAACATGGTGAAACCCCGTCTCTACTAAAAATACAAAAAATTAGCTGGGCGTGGTGGCATGTGCCTGTAATCCCAGCTACTCAGGAGGCTGAAGCAGGAGAATTGCCTGAACCCAGGAGGATTGCAGTGAGCCGAGATCGCGCCATTGCACTCCGGCCTGGGTAACAAGAGTGAAACTCCGTCTCAAAAAAAAAAAAAAAGAAAAAGAAAAAAGTCCCTAGTAGTAACAAGGTTCACAATAAAATAAAATTATTATAAAATCTTAACTGTATTAAAGCAATGGAACAGATAGTCTCCAAATCATTTTGAGTGGTTTCGAAAGATTTAATTGTATATTTCTACTTTGTAGATGTATAGAGTACTTCTATTTCACACATAATGACCCTGTATTATGAAGATTTTATTTTAAAAGAAATATAAAGATGATCAACTGAATTCTTTCCTCCCCACAGATTCCTCTAAAGTCCACATCATCATACTGAGATTTCTTAAACAGTTACTATTGTTCCAGGGCTAAGTGCAGGTATCCTAGAAAACTCACTTAATGTTAACATCTTAGGAAGCAGGTATTATGATTATGCACATTTTACAGATGAAGTAACTTACATCCACAAAAGTCAGCCAAACTCATGCAGGTACCTATCAGAATCCAGGCAGTCTAATGCCAGAGTTTGGACTTCAATAACTACACCCTACACCTGGCAGGTAGATAGAATCTGTCAAATTTAAATGCTGACATGACAAAACAAATATTGTTTTTGTGGAGAAACAGACAAGTTTTTGTTTTAAAGGAGAAATAATATAACATCATAAACAACTGATTTAAAAAATAAGAATAGTGCATGTTTACTCTATGAAAGTTTATTCTAAAAATAACAACAAAATTTAGTTCCACATTACAACCAAAAAGACTAAGTTAAAGTATTAAGTGGATAGGAAAGAAATCTCTTTCCAAAGAAAGGAAAAGCGGCCCCTTTTCTTTCTGATCATGAAACAGAGGGCCAGGACGGACAGGTTCTGAAGTGTAGACAGGTGGCACACAAGTTAAGGAACCTCAGATTAGAATCTCTTTTTTTCTGCCTACTGAAGTTATTAGCCTACTAGTTCAGATCTCCTCAGCTAATGGTTTTCTCACTTTTGGAGGTTCTACTCAATGGAAAGGTCACATCAGTCAAAATAAAAACATAAATTCTCTGGTCTTTTTGGTGAAGGGGATTGGAGCATTACTCTTGCAAATGCAATGCAGTAAAAGAAAGCTACAGGAGTTCTTGAAACTGAGGGGCGAGACCCAGGCATTTAGGATTCCCTCCCCGTTGGTCATCCACTGTGCATCTCAACAAAAGAGAGCAAGCCAGTTGGGGCCTCCTAAATCTCCTTCCTGAAAACAACAGGCTAGGCCTTGGGGAAACTCTCCAGAAGGCACTATTTTTACTTAAAACAAGATCAAACCAGAAACCTTTTTACATGTGATTCCTAAAACTGTAAACCAGAACCCTTTCATATGTGATTCCTGCAACTGTAAACAGAGACCTTTTCACGTGAGTCCTAAAACTGTAAACCAAAACCTTTTCACATGAAAACTCTGAACCTAAGATTCTTCCACATGTAACATCTAAAGTATAAGCCTATATAAAGGCTGAACCTCCCTTTATTAGACGAGCTTAGCTGTTAAGCACTTATGCCACCTTACTCCCCGCTGAAATAAATTCCTTCCTCCTGTATTCAGTGTCCGACAGATCCTTTCCCGCGGCCGCTCCTGTTACATTTTTGGTGCGTTGACCAGTAAGCGAGGATAGCAGAAGGCGGGCGGGGGTGGGGCGGGGGGAGGTCTCTTAGGTAGTTTGCCTAGCCCTGTGGAGCATCCCTGCAGGGGGACTCCTGCTCGCTGGGGTGACGCAGCCTAAGACTGCTCCCGGGCAGGTATTTGCCTGGTGGAAAAGCCTCACCAGAGCAGAGCAAGGAGGCCCTGCAGTGTTGATCCACCCAGTGGCTGAACACCGAGGGGGAACGAATATTTAGGGAAGTCTGGACACTGAATTTGGTAAGATTGAACCCGGGAAAGTAGCCCACCCCATTTTGGGTGGAAGCGTGGCCTGATCACCCACGGGTGCCAGATTGGCACGTTCTAAGGTAGCTCTCTCTGTAACCTTGGAACTTTTGCTTATAGTTTTGAATTGGAAAGACAGTAATCGGATGTGTGTCTATAAGAGAAGATTGAACCTGGGAAAGTAGCCCACCCCATTTTGGGTGGAAGCGTGGCCTGATCACCCATGGGTGCCAGATCGGCATGTTGGAAGGTAGCTCTCTGCAACCTTGGAAGCTTTTGCTTATAGTTTTGAATTAGGAGAGCAATTGAATGTGTCTGTGTGTGTAGATGTGTCCTACCAGACTCATCAGTCGTAAAAGGTATCAGGCCCATTAGGAAGGGCCTCTGCGTTGAGCAATTTGTAAGAATTAGAGACAGCCAAAGAAGGCTTGAGTGAAGAAGCCTCTGGGCGTTGTAAAAGGATTAAAGTGAATGTAAATTGGAGAGTGCTCCATGCTGCGTCTTGCTAGGCAGGAACAGGAACTGCTGCGAGTAAATAGCACTCTCCTAGCTGTAGGAATTGTTTCTTTGAAATGTTAATTCATTTCCATAGCCATTCCACCCCTTTAGAAACCAAGCTGAAAAATTTCAAGAAGGGATTTAGTAGGAATTATGAAGTAACTATGACACCAGAAAAATTAAGGATTTTATGTAAGGAAGATTGGCCAGCACTTAGGGTAGGTTAGCCCCCAAAGGGGATCCCAGACAGGTCCCTTGTCTCCAAAGTAAAGCATGAGGTTATATAAGGCAAGCTAGAACACCTCGATCAATTTCCATACATAGACTCCTGGTTGCAGTCAGTGTTAAACCCTCCGAAGTGGCTAAGAGAGCAGGCAGCGACTCTTTTAGTAGCCAAGGGACACACTGCTAGAAACCACCATCCCCCTTGAAGCCAAGAAAGGCAGAATCTCTGTCCCTGGGCCAGAGGCCTCAGCATTCCCACCAGAGCTGCACAGGCCTAAAATCCTCCAGAGCAGACAAAAGAGAATGTAAAAAACTCCGCCCATTGCTGCCCGCTTCCCAGAGGGAACTCCCCGTCTGGCAGCCCGTCTGCGACCCAAGGCCGGGGTGCAGATGGCTTTAAGACAGCAGAGGTACAGAGGAGTAGACAAGGATGGCCACATAGTAGAAAGGCATGTTTTCATGTACCTGCCGTTCACCTCGGCTGATCTTATCAATTAGAAAAAGAACAACCCGTCTTATACCGAGAAACTCCAAGCTCTCATTGGTCTACTGCAAACTATTATTCGGACTCATAATCCTATTTGGGCTGATTGCCATCAGCTGCTTATGCATCTTTTTAATACAGACGAAAGGCAGCGAATAATCCAAGCTACTTCTAACTGGCTGGAGGAGCATGTTCCTGCAGATTACCAGAACCCCCAAGAGTATGAAAAAAGGGAGGTTCCTAGAAACCCCCCAGTCTGCCCACCCGGGCCTGCAATGCGATCAGTGTGTATTCTGTTGAACAATAAGACAGTGGAAGAAAAAATATCCACAGTTAACTGAGGAACAGGACGATCCTAAACAGGAGGATCCAAATGAGCGTGAAGGGGCTCTGTTCAATCTAATGGAAGGGCCACTGGATTAAAAGAGAGGGGGCTAGACTCATATGCCCCCAAAGAGCCCATAGGCCAGACGACAGCCCTGTAACCCCCATTGAAAAGAACAAAGCCAGTGTTATTAAATCTATTAAAGTATTAAGAGAACAAACTTTCTTGTACTTAATGAATTGCCCCTGCCCCCCTTCTCTGGCAAACCTGTTGTGCAAATCGAGGGCCACTATCCCATGCAACAAAGAAGACTACCTGCAGCTAAAACTGCCTCTGTCGGGGGTCATCCAGGCTCTCACTGTCCCTAGGGAAGGAGGGTGGCGACTTCCTAGCCAGAAGCAGAGGACTGATGTTATCGCCCAGGCAGGTGCAAGGTTTGCATGGCTTTGCACCCAACTTATACATGCCGTTAAGATTACTGCCAGCAGCGGTTAGTTAGTTCACTTAGACTTAAAGAATACCTCCTTAGCATTAGACTGACCTTAGAAGGTCAAAAACTATTTGCATTTCCCAGAAGCAGGTGTAACCACTCAATGCACCTGAACCCAGCTTCCCAGCGACTCAGAAACTCTCTCATCATCACTGGGGAGGCATTAACCTGTGACCATCCCCCAGAAGCTTCTTGCTCGCATTCTGGCTTCGTATGCCGATAACCTTCTATTGGGACACCCCATGGCAGTCAGGCGCGCAAACAAATGCCTTATTTCGGCACCTGGAGGATTGTGGGTATAAAGTGTCTAAAAGGAAAGCCCTGATTTGCCAAAAAAGCAAATGCAGTATCTGAGGCTCGACATCTGGAAGAGGGAACGCAGCCCAGAAGCAGAGAGGAAGCAAGCCGCTTGCAAAGTAACAGAACCTGAGACTAAAAAGCAGGTGAGAGAGCTCCTGGGAGAGGTGGGTTTTATAAATTGTAGATTTCTAAACTTCGCAGTACTGGCCAAATCCTTACACAAGGTGACAAAGAGGGGAGGGGAGAAGATAAGACACCCTTCGAACGGGGCAGAAGCTAAAAGTGAAACTTCTGTTAGCCCTGGCTTTGGGCTTAGCCAATTTTAACACAGCCTTTTCATGCTGTCAAAAAGAAAAAAAAAAAGGAAGAAGAAAAATAGCAATCAAAGATTCTAGCCTCAATTCTGAGAAAAATGTAAATATCAAGCACCCCACACAGCAGTGACTCTAATGAATACCAAAAGACCTCATTGGTAAGCCTGCCAAATACCAGGACCCGCTATGTGCAGTAGTTGTACAAGCCATACATGAGACCACTTGTTTAGGTTAAGAGTCACTTGAAAAGATGCCGGGTCGGTACTTTTATATCTTACACTTATCAGCCTTAACTAAAACTGTGGCACAGTGATGCATTCATTACATGTCAGCAACACAACGTGAGGAAGGGTCCCAACTATTCTCCCTGGCAATCAAGCTTATAGAGCAGCTCTGTTTAAAGATCTCCAGGTACACTTTACTGAAATGTCCAAGTGTGGGGGACATAAATATTTATTAGTCCTAGTGTGCCCATACTCTAGGTAAGCCTGAAAAGGCCCATGAAATAATCCGTGTGCTACTTCGAGATCTTATCCCTAGGTTTAGGCTGCCACTGCACATCAGATCAGACAACGGACCAGCATTTGTGGATTTAGTCCAGAAAACAGCAACGGCCTTGGGTATCACCTAGAAACTCCATGCTGCCTACCGACCTCAGAGTTCCGGAAAAGTATAAAAATGAATTGGACCATCAAAAACAGCTTAGAGAAAGTGTGTCAGGAAACAAGATTAAAGTGAGTGCAGGCACTTCCCTTAGTGTTATTCAAAATTAGAGGCACCCCCTTTAAGAAAAACAGGATATTCCCCTATAAAGTCTTATACCATAGGCCCCCTCCCCTACTCTGAGCACTCCTAGGAACTCCTCAGGAGTGGGGAGAGATTGAGTTAGGATGCTAGTTACTAGCCCTAGGGAGAATCGCTTAGGATACTTCAACCTGAGTAAATAACAAATGTTCTGTAAGCCTTTTTCTACCCAGTTCACCCTTTCTCACTAAGTAATCACGTGTAGATAAAAGACAAGAGTACAGTCCCTCTAAAGCCACAATAAGAGACCTCAAACCTGATCCTAACCAATCCCACAGCTATAAAAGTAAAAAGAATCCCAGCCTAAATCCACCACAGCTGTGTAAAAACCAGCAACACCTGAGACTTGGATCAAGGCAAGAACTGCAGAATCACCTTACAAAGGACAACAAGCCTTGCTCCAGCCACATCCTAGAAGCTGGCTGGTCCACGCACGGCCAAAGCATGGAGAAATTCATCGTGAGACTTGTTCTTAATATTTAGACTTGTACAGTAAGAGCATTAACTAATTTTAAAGAATGCCCTCAGTATGTACACCAGGTAGGGCGTAAAAGTTACTGTCACTCTTTTATCCTACAGTTCTTATAAATGTATAGGGACACAGAAGGGAACCCGTTTATATCATGGTACTCAATATAAAGTGTGCAATCCATGAGATAAACAAGTAGCTGTGTCATAGGCATCATTAAAAGCCCTCTTTCTTCCTATTATCTGTTAAAAGAAGTGGGCTATCAATGTATTTAGTCTACTCTGCTAGAAAGAAAAAGAAACCTAAAGATAGGAGAATGGACAGATAAGTAAACACCGGAGAAAACTATTAAGTATTATGAGCCAGCCACATGGGCAGAGGATGGCTCATAGGAATACCAGACCCCTATTTACATGCTCAACCAGGTCAACCAGTTGCAGGCTGTTTTAAAAATACTCAACAAGCAAAGCTCTGTCCCTTTTAGCCCAACAACAACAACAACAAACCTCAAATAAGAAATATGATTTACCAGAACCGGCTGGCCCTAAATTATTTGCTAGCAGCCGAAAGAAGAGTCTGTGGAAAACTCAATCTAACCAACTGCTGTCTGCACATAGATGACCAGGGGCAAGCAGTAGAAAGGATTGTGTGAGACATGACAAAACTAGCACACGCACCTGTACAGGTATGGCACGGATTTAACCCCGAGTCCTTATTTACAGGTTAGTTCTCATCCTTAGGAGGATTCAAAACCCTCATCATAAGTGTTATAATAAGTGTTTGTTTGTTGCTCCCTTGTCTACTCCCCCTGTTCCTTCAGATGATTAAGGGATTCATCACTGCTGTAGTTAACCAAAAATACTAAGTATATCATATGAAACATTATCAGTTTCTTCAGAAAACCTGGAAGGTTAGAATGAAAGTGAGACCTCTCACTGATATTATAAAATAGCGAGAGTCTCAAAGGGGGGGATGAGGAGGGAGACCAGGCATTTGGGATTCCCTCCCCTTCAGTCATCCACTGTGTATCTCAATAAAATAGAGCAGGCCAGCTGGCGCCTCCTGATCTCCTTCCTGAAAACAGGCTAGGCCTTGGGGAAACTCTCCAGAAGGCACTATTTTTACTTAAAACAAGATCAAACCAGAAATCTTTTTACATGTGAGTCCTAAAACTGTAAACCAGAACGCTTTCATATGTAATTCCTGCAACTATAAACAGAGACCTTTTCACATGTGAGGTCTCTGAACCTAAAACTATGAACCTAAGATTCTTCCACGTGTAACATCTAAAGTATAAGCCTATATAAAGGCTGAACCTCCCTATATTAGACGAGCTTAGCTGTTAAGCACCTTACTCCCAGCTGAAATAAATTCCTCCTGTATTCAATGTCCGAGAGATCCTTTCCTGCAGCCGCTCCTGCTACAAAACATTTATGAAATTAAATTTGATGCACCATTAAAATTATACTGACAGCAAAGAAAAAAAGGATTAAAATACTAAACTGTGCACACATACTACACATACATACTGAAAACAACCCTAGTTTTTTGTTGTGGTTTTTATTGTACACATTTAGCCAAACAAAGCTCACTATATCACCAGAAAAAAACGGTTACCTCGACTCTAAGGGTTCATATGGAAACTAAAATGCACATTAAGAAGGCTGATAGAAAGTAATCAAAAAAGCTGCTTTAGCCAAGGTACTCCCGTCAATCTTTTTAAAAAAGTGCACTTTCTATTAATTTAGAACCGCAAGAACATTTCACAACGCCTTGAGTCTATTAAAAGTGCTTATCAATTTAACAGATAAGTCTATATAACTTGCTGCTAAAGATGCTAAATGCGCGTGAGTTGGTCACCGACTAAATTAGGTCTACCCTAGCCTTCATTTAGAGAATATATAAATAAAAACATGTGTATGCGTTAGGGGACCACCCTTGACGCATACAGTTATTGAGTGAAAGGGAACTGACCCCCCATTACCTAAGGGTCTTTTCGGATTTGTTTTCTAAGCGTCATCCCTCCTGAGGAAGGTGGCAGGAGAGATAGCGGAGAATCGAGCACCGGGCCTGGAGCAAGCTCCTCCCAAGGCCTACCTGCAACACGAAACAGCGCTGCGACACGCTGAAGCCCAGGTGTGCGGCCGGGAGGTGGGAGATCTTCACTTCAGCCACCTCCTCATTAGGGTTGTCCAGGGTCAGAAGCAGCGTCCGTGAGGCTCCTAGGCTAACGTCCCCGAAGCAAAGGAAAGGAGACCTGCGGAAGTGGCTAAGAAACAGGACCGGAGGGGAAGTCGACTCCTCTTGGGTCGCGGGGACCCGCAGCCCCGCGCACGGCCTCTGCTCGGTCGGGCTCACCTCCCAGCAGCCTCGCCCCACTCGCCGGGTAGCCATGACGGCTTGGAGCCCCCGCCTGGATCTCTTGCCCCGCTCCCACGAGGCTGTTCCGGAGCGGGGGTCCAGGACTTACGCTGACCGCTTCCTCTCAGGGGCGGCTGTAGAGGTCGGGGGAGTGAATTCGGCCCCTTTTCTTTTCCAGTAACCTACACCCTAAAAAACCGAAAACAATCCCAACAAACTCGCAAGTTGAATAGGGAAGCTAAACAAGTATGGGGTTTTGACTGTTTAAAATTTCCGCCTCCACCAATGGGTGCCTCCGGGCACCGCCCACCTCATCACGAGGCCAATCGGTGAGCAGCATCTCGTGACCAATGAGACGGCGACGCTGCATTTGAATGATTGCATCCGGCCGCCAATCGCTGTCTGCGGAGGAGATGAGAACGGTAGCGGAGTCCTGGTTCTCTTCTAAGACCCGGGGCTTAGAATTGAAATTCGCCTTTAGATTTTGTGCTGAAGGGAAGGGAGTCACAGCACTTCCACAACACCTGTATTAATAATTGCGGTTTCCAGGAACAATCATAGATAAAACTGAAGCCGGCAAAAATTGTTTTACGTCACTCCTCTCATATACATACCCCCCCCAGAATTATATTAATTTTCACGGTTTCCAGGGCTGAATGGTGATGTAAGGATAATTAGTTTGTGTGAACATGCTTATTTTAGTGACGGACCATAGCAGGGACTCAGTACATTTACATGATGTTGATTACCTCAGGACGCTGGGAAGGAAACCAGGTAAACAAATGAAACCTGAGATACCCAGTAATTCATAAATGATCGTTTTGACTGGCAATGTCTTTCACAAATAACGTGTCAGTTTTTATTTTAATTGTAGGGATTTAATAATAATCATAGCTTACATATTACCATATGCTAGGGATATTTTATTAATTCATTTATTTTGAGACCGAGCCTCGCCCTCTCAGGCTTGAGTGCAGTGGTGTGATCTGGGCTCACTGCAACCTCCGCCTCCCAGGTTCAAGCCATTCTCCTATCTAAGCCTCTCTGGTGGCTGGAATTACAGGTGCGCCTCACCAAGACCAGCTAATTTTTGTATTTTTGGTGCAGAGGGATTTTGCCATGTTGGCCAGCCTGGTCTCAAATTCCTGGCCTCAAGTGATCAGCCCACAAAGTGCTGGGATTGCAGGCCTGAGTGTCTACTTTTTAAAATCCTTTACATATTTGTCTCAACCTTCACCTTAAACCTATGAGATATCTCTTAGAGTATAGGTACCATTATTTGTGTAAGGGTTATGGTCTTGTGAGATTTATTGCCAAGTTTAAAATGAGGAAACTGAGGCCTGCATCAGAACAATTAGATGCCAATTTATTCGGCTCCTGAGCAAGGTTCTGTGGTCCTGGGGAAAGAGGCCAGAGAAGTCACGCCTGACTCCTCTCAGGCGTGGGGTTTTATAGGGAGGGAAGGCGTTCTGATTTGTGCTATTAGGTTATGGTAGGGACTGAATGACTTATCAAAGGACTATAAGTGACTGCGTGATACAAACCGTTTATTATCAACCATTACCTAATCCAAGGGTCAGCAAACTATGGCCTGAGGGCTGAATCTGACCCATTGGCTCCTTTTTTTTTTTTGTAAATAAAGTTTTATTGGAGCAAGGTCATGCCCACTTATTTACATATGTCTATGACTGCTTTCACATTGTAATGGCAGAATAGCTGTGACAGAAAACATATAGCCTGCATAGCTTAAAATATTTAGTGTCTGGCCCTTTTCAAAAAATTTGCTGACCTGGGATCTAATCTAAAGGACCATAAAATTTTATGTGAAAAGCAACATTGCATTATCAAACAAAAGCAGAATCTATAAGCCCAGGGCTAAGCAGGCCCCTAATACACAAGTAAGTGATACAAACAGGTGACTCAGATTTTAGTAAGAATCTTTTACTACTCTACTACTTCGCCACTTCTCTCTGGGTATTTCCTAATGATAATTTCACAAGAAAAAGACCTGATTATGGATGAAATTGTATGGTAGGTCAGATATAAACGGACTTGCACTACAGCTTCTCCTTAGGGGTGGATGGGAATACTCTCAGTAAGAATTCTGGATGGTAGGCCTGGTAGTCCACTTCTTAAGGAAGAGAGCATGGCCCAAGGTAAAGCTCTATGCTGATTAACGGACCATGGCTGACAGGTTGGCCAGCTGGTCAAAGCTTTGGAGAAAACAAAATGGAACATTGGGGACAACGTGGTCTGGAGAGGCGAGGTATATAAAAAGTCCACTCAAAATAGGTAAATGAAGTTAAATTTGTGTTCCATGTAAATGCCCATCAGAGAATATCCATGGCCAAGAAGGAGCTCAAAAATCAGGTAAAAAAGAGAATCTATCCTGTGGAGGGAGGTCAGTTTCTTTCTCCAGGGATCCATTTGCTTGCTCATTGAGCTTATTTACAAAGTGGCTACAGCAGCAGTAGTGGAGGATAAGAATGGGCTCAAGGTTGTTTCCCTTGCAAAGCTGATGTGAAAAGCCCCAGTGGAGTGCCTAACCTACTAAAAGAGGCTGATGCTGAACATCTGATCTAATTCCATTCTCCCATGGGACCACTCAGCTACCTGTGGCATATTGTTACATTAAATCCTTTCTATTATGGAAGTAACAATATTTTGCCTCTCTGGGATAAATATATTTTTCCGTGTATAGTTTACTATACCTGCCCCCATTATCTGTAGATTTATAGCTTTATCTATAACCAATGAATATGTGATGGTTTTCACATATGTCCAAAAATTTGTTGCTATACTCTCTTCAAGAGGGAGAGTTTAATTTGTGCCCCTAACATGTGGACTAGAATAGTTACTCACAATAGAATATGGAAGTGGTACTATATCACTTCTGAGATTAGGTTATAAAAGACAACAACGTATATCCTGGGCATGCCTTTTTAGATTGCTTTCGGGAAAGTGGTGGGGCTGGGGCAGTTGCCATATCACTAGGCAGCCCTGTGGAGAGGCCATGTGATGAACTGAGACCAAGGACCACGAGTGACCTTGGAAGTCCATCCCCAGTGAAGCCTCTAGAGATGGCAGCTCTGACTTAACAGCTTGATTTCAATCTCATGAGAGACCCTGAGCTAAAACCACCCAGCTAAACCCATCCTATATCCCTAACCCACAGAAACTGTGATGTAATAAATGTTTGTTGTTTGAAGCCACTAAGTTCAGTATAGTTTATTAGACAGCAATAGTAAACTAAGTAACACACAACATTGCCTATAATCAGAAGACTCTTTTCGGAGAAATGTGCTCATGCCCATAGCATTTACTGGTCTTCTAACATTCAGAAGCAGCTGACAAGATAGAAAAGAGAAAGCCTATTGGAGGCTCAGTTATGGTGCCAGATAGAGATAACAACCTGCAAGTTTGGGGGGGTACCGTCCTATAGCCTACAGTTTATGCCTTCAACCAACAACCATTTCTCTTGTAACCAGAATGTATGCATCTGGGAGTGAGGGGGATTAGAGATAAGAGTGGCCCCTCTCAATTATACAGAATAACTCATTTTACTAATGAATTACTACACTCAGACTTCTCTCTCTAAAAAACAGCATAATATGACTACTTAAAGCCTAAAATTCGGCCGGGCGCGGTGGCTCAAGCCTGTAATCCCAGCACTTTGGGAGGCTGAGGCGGTTTGGATCACGAGGTCAAGAGATTGAGACCATCCTGGTCAACATGGTGAAACACCATCTCTACTAAAAAAAAAAAAAAAATACAAAAAATTAGCTGGGCTTGGTGGCGCGCACCTGTAATCCCAGCTACTCGGGAGGCTGAGGCAGAATTGCCTGAACCCAGGAGGCGGAGGTTGTGGTGAGCGGAGATCGCGCCATTGCACTCCAGCCTGGGTAACAGGAGCGAAAACTCGTCTCAAAAAAAAAAAAAAAGCATAAAATTCATCAATAATATTTGAATTTATATGACACTTAAAATTCATTAGTTTAATGGTTTATACATTAAATGTATAAAATATTTCAAAATATACAGCTTATGAGAAAATATTTTAAAATGTGCTGCAGGTTGCTTGGTTTTCAATTTGTTCATGGTCTTTGCATTCAATTTTTATGAAAGCATGCAGAGTACTGCATTCCCATTCTGTGAAAATGTGATTCAATAAAACCTACATATGCAGTATTAGGACCAAAGAACTTCATATTTATTTTAAATATCAAAATAACAAATAACTAGTTCAATATACAGTACACTTCCTATTCCTCACAGAGAACTGAATTTTTCTATGAAGACATTTATACTTAGGAAACATGAGACAACCAAAGTATGTAGAAAACTCACAAGATATTTTACACACAGTCACAATAATGAATTCTGATATTTTAGATTTTTCTGTCATTGCTTTTAAAGAATCCTTAATTAAAAACAAAAATTATGATTTGAGACTGAAAACAAGTTCAAAAGCATTTCAACTTTAATATAAGTTGTAAATCCCCGTAATCAAAACATTTACTACATAATGTGGAACAGCTAAATACCCAGATTTGTATGATTTTTTGGCAGCCACACTCATCAACTGTAATACAATTTTATCTATAGGGATAAGAAGAGTCCAATCGTTGGAAGGAATAAAAAATTTTTAATTACATCACAGTACATTGCCAGCTTTAATGCAAGCAGGAATACCAAGCAAAAAAAAGGCGCAATAACAATGAGATGTGTACATGCTCTTCATTCAGTACATCTTTTGGAATCTCCAACAGCAACGCAAGCACTGATTACTTTTCTTTGCCTAAGAATTTGACCAGAAAAAGTTATATTTCTTGTATAACCTCTGTGCTCTAAATATAATCCTTAATTTCTCTTTATATAATTGGCTGCATAGGCTAAATTTAAATTGTTTTAGGATTTTTCTCAAGATCATAGATTTATGATCAATACACAACAAGTTGAAACATGAAGAGTAAACAAACATAAGCACTCTCTCTACAAAACCTTCCTTTTCTCATCTTCCACACATCTTAGTCCTATTATACCTATCTTATTAATGCCACTTCCAAAGAGAAAGAGCAGAAAGCATGCTAAGGTTATAGGGAAAAGGTTTCTTAAGTAAAAATAATTTTAGAGGAAATAAGGAGAGGATTCCCTCTACCCTCAAACAAACGAACAAACAAAAATCCTCACATGGCAGACTATACCAAGAGAGAAATGTGGAAAGGGGTAGGATATAAGGAAGAACTGTCTAGTTTCTAGAAATTGTTTAGAAAATTATTCTCACATTATCCATTGTTCACTCTAACAGAAAGTAACATTTACTATAACACTACTTAAAGTTTTAGAAATGCTACTTGTTCCTTATTAAAGAATACAT